CTAACAATTTTAAATAAAAGGCATCTGAGAAAAAAACTTCACCAAACTTAGCCCAGTTCGGCTTCCATCCAGATGGGATGGTTTGGGGGAGACATTTCTGTGATACGAGCAGATGGGGGTCTGAGCGATTTTATGACAAAAAAATAATGATGATGATGATGATTAAAATAATAATAATCATGGCCCTTAGAACAAAGGCCTTAAGCACAGAATAATTAGGAGAGGTGGCTCAAAGAAAATGAGTACCTCAAAATACATTAAAATAGGCAAACTGAATTTGGCCTCGGCGAGAGTCAAGTGGTTCTGTGGAAAAGAACGACAGGCCCCAGCATTCCGCTGTTCGAGAACACTTCTATGGAGAGCCGAGTTAAAGCCTGCCTGGGAGGAAAGTGCCTATCCACACAGGTAAATTGCTTCTGCCAGGGCAAGCCAGGAAGGGGCCCATTCACTCCGTGTGGGTGAACACGCTTGTCCCACGAGGCCATTTACTTACAGCCTCTTCCTACCGGATCAGGCCCATTTGTTTTTATATCTCAACAGTACGCACAGGCCTTGCTCGCACTGCGTGTGCGATTATAAAACACCTTTCAGTCTGCCGCTGCTAAACTGAGTGCTCTAAACAAATGTTCTCTGAGGGCAGTAACTCCTTAATATAAACTGCATTTAATAAAACTGGTAGCGATTCTAAAAAGAAAAGGGGAGAGGCATATTCAGAGAGAATGTCTGGAAGAAATTTGCAATTAATATTTTACAAGACATTTAGATTCCATAGATTCCTCCTCCTTGCTGCTAAAATTTAAGAGCTTTTTCAAAACTGTATTCCTCTCTGTTATTACATCCTTAATTAAATTAATTTATACAGTGAACGCTCTAATGAGACTGCTGCAGATTTTCAATCAAAAAGCCTCATTGCCAGAGACAATGTGTGTTAAGACCTTGAGAAAAGAATGCCACGTGGCACCGTGCTGACACTGGCACGGGGATATTTGGCCCTTACATTTGATTATTGAAAAGATCTCAGTACTTTCTCTGTGCCTCAATAATGGTCTTTGTTTTACTTTATTTTTTAATTGAGCTAAATTAGGTCAAAGAAAACAAAACAAATCTCGCAAGTTGCCTTTACAAGGATTCTTCTCTGGGAAACACAATGGCAGACAAGGACGTTTCTACTGAATCTTACTACCAGTTGGGTTGCGCCTACCTGAAACCCTAAACAAAGGAGGCTATCTCTAAGCCCAAGCTCATACGTCATCAGAGTGGAGGCAACCGAAATTTGTCCAAGAACACAAGTGGCCCAGCAGCAGAAGAGCTGGTCTAATCGTGCTGCACCAAACCCAGTGACTCAGGCTGTGCAGACACAGCCGGTATAATCTGCAGGCTGTGAAGGCACTACTCATTAGGGATCTCAAGGGTGGGTGGGGGTGTGTGTGTGTGTGTGTAACTGGTATTCTGTCAGAAGCAGAAAAGCACTAAAGCACAACCACATAAATATTAATTACCTGTCTACTGTCCATCCTCCCCACTAGGATCAGCTAGAGGCCCGTCGGAATTGACCTCCGCTATTTCCTGCGAATACCAGGCTTAGTGCCAGGCACACTGTAGGCACTCAATAAATTATCACTTGGGATTCAGAGATCTCCTGAAATGTCAGTAATTAGTAAGGGGCTATCCCTAAGATTTGATCTGTTGCTTAAGCGTTAAGCAATCACTTCTAGAGCAGAGCATCATCCAACCAAGGGAAGGACACCCAACAACCCCTCCCTTCCTTGCTCTGGGTGTTGAGATGTCGAATCTGCTCCCTTCATTTCCACTATTTTATTTCTAGGACTGATGTTGAGCATCTTAGAGGATTTAAGACACGGTGTCTTTCTTGGTCACACAGGAAGAGGCAGGCTTCGGAAACGTGGCCTCACTTACGCTGAGGACACATCTGATCAGGGCTCAGGAAGGCCCTGATCCTTCACCTCGATCCCAGTGCCCTACCCGCCACGTAAAGGGTCTCTCGACTCCACACGTGACAGGAGAAGGAGGGTGCCCTCAATCGAAATCTAAGAGAAGACACAGCGACTGAATAGCCAGTCCTATCAGCTTGTTTCTGCCTCTCAACAAACCAAGTTCTTTGTTTCCCTCAAGAAAGGAAGCGGTGTAGAAGGGCAAAAGCAAACCCCTACACGTTACTGGGCTGCAGGAGAAAAGTTCCTTATGAAACAAAAACATCAACTGCTGAAGAAAACTGCATAGAAAAAAAACCCCAGCATTATTTGATCTTGTTTAAAATTGAAAGTTTTGGACACTTTAGAAAAAAGGCAGCAAGTGACTTTTTAATGGATTTTATCCACAGGAAAATGATTACAACCAGAAAAGCTTTAAAGTGTCAGCTGGTGATGCATTTTTTCTTTATCCCTTTTATTTCTATTCCTAAAGAAATTGAAGGCATATGGCAAAGTGCATCATTAATTTCTTATTAATTTCATAATATGAAGGCAACCAGTTAAAATGGTCATGTACAACTTTAAATTACCGAACTCACTTGGTATTTAATGAGAGATTTAGCACAGCAGGGTTTCTGTTAAATTAAGTTGTGCCTTCACATCACAGTGGGAAAACAGGTGTATATTGGTTTAGAATTATGGAAATGTTGACTAATTCCAAGGCTTGTAATCAAACAGCAAGGTATCCTGTAATATTTTTTTTTTCCAAGAATATGCATTAATCTTTTTATGTCTAGTCCCATTTCTTCCTGTCTACAAAAGGCACAAAGCTGCAAGCAACCACTCTCATATTTTCCCTATAGCCGTCAAGGGTGATATTTATCTGATAAAGCTGTACACAGATGCAGGATATGGAACTCTGTCCTCATTTACCATATTTGAAATGGCAAAGGTGGCAAGTGTGTAGAGCATAAAGGCTATTAGCCTTACAAATAAGATCTGACTTTTCAGATTTTCATTTAACTTGCCTCAAGTAATTGGGCATAGGAATGTGAACTAGATAAAAAGAAAACCAAAAATAATCAACCAACCATCTTTTCCAACTTCCACATGACTGTCCTTAACAACAGGTCTCTAAAATCACCATCCCTGGATTCCACATGCAGAAGTTTTTGGAAGACAAGAAAGAAAACATGCAACTTTTTTAAAGAAAAACTACAAAATGTGCAAATTGTTAGCTAAGAAAAGAGTCAGAGGCAGATATCCCCAACCCAAGCATACTCATCAGTCACTTCTATGCATTTCAACATGCCCTCTTCGTCGTATTCACTCTGGGTTTCTTAAGAGCATCTTCACGTGTCAAGATCACACTAGAGCTGTGTAAACCAACCAAGTTTTGCATTCACTTAAAATATGATGTCACTGCCATCAAACTCTCTACTATACCTTAAATGCTAAATAACAATTCATCATCTCAAGTAATTTTTTAAAACACATGTAGAAGGGATTTTGTGTGCTAATTACAGTAAAGTGTTTCTTTTTAAGAGAGGGAATACAAAGTGGTCTTTGGGTGTGTTTAGGAGGCTGGGAAATAAGTATTTTCTTCTATTGTTGGCCGAACCAGTAAATATTTGCCTTGGTTCTTTCATTCCATAATGGGACTTAACATTGCAATCTCTTAGAATTTTCATTGGAAAAATTCCATTTACATGGAGAATGAAGCTGAAATACTACTACTTTCTTTTTCTTTTAAAAGTCACTGAGCCTTAATAAAGGCAGGCTTATTAAGAACCACCTTAGTGGTTTCAGGGAGAAGTAGTTAAATTGGGAAGGAGCATTCTGATACCACACACTTGGTTTTTTGAACCTTCTATTCGTTGATTTCCTCGTGTGAAAAAGGGAAAACCAAAGTGGTGCGATGTAAGACCAAGGCTCATAACCTATTACTTTTGGGCGATTAAGAAGCTAACATTTTGAAAACCTTTTGTTGAGCATCTTGCCACTACAAATTTACAAAACTTTCTTCAATGGATCTGAGGTGAATCACATAAATGCTCTCTCTTCCGTGGCTACCGGGGGCCACAGTGCTCCCACGTGACTATGTTAGTGCGTACACACACAGGTGTCGGTGCACGTGCTCAGAGATGGATAAATGACACCATACTAGAATCACACCCTGAAAACATCAAGGACGTTACGTTATCTTTCTTTTATTCTTATCAAACCAGGTTTCAAGAAAATCATCATCACTACAGTGATTATCACAGATTCTTCATTATAACCGATGTGTGTCATTACTATGTTGAATGAACTCATCGTGGATATTTGGGTCAGTAGGGAAAATACTCAAACAACACAGGGAAATGGATCCTAGCATGAAATACATAAAAGAGCCACAAAACCCTTTAGATGTAATGTATTCTGATGAAGCTGTTACATGCAACGTCAGTTCATTTCTAGAGAATTATCCTAATCATCAAACATTACCAGGAAGGAAATGGAAAAAAAAAAAAAAAAAACAACTGTAAGCATTATATTTTCTGTTCTGTATCAACATGAAGCCACAAATTGGGCATTAAAACATTGACTTTGTTAACCACCACTGACTGTTTAGAAACCATTTGGAGGCTTAATATTATGGCTGTACAGGGTACATTTTGTCCTTTCAAAAGAAAATCTAAAGACGAAATTTGAAAAGGGGCTCCTGGGGAGTAAAAAGCTTTTCCTTTTCCATTTGCTTCTCTTGTGTGTTGGGTTTTTTTTTTTTCCCCCTTTTTAAAATCTTAGCCCACCCAATACTCTTTGGCAGCCGCTGCTGCCCAGTGGGGTCACTCTGATTTTCTAACCAGGGGACATGCTATTTGAGAGCTCTTCCCGTCAGCGTGAATGCCAGGGCTCCTCTGTGGGCCGGCCAGCTGGCTTGGCTGCCGCAGGGAACAGAGGGTCAACACACACTCCTCAAAAGACCAAAGTCATTTTTGGCACTAAGAGCCCATAACTAGAACCTTCAGTTAAAAGGACCATTTTCAAGCAATAAAGTGATTCTGGTACAAAAGTAAACCGACTCACCCCAGGTAAAGTTTTAATATTGTGCAGGGCATTCTGGGCCTCAAGTGCAGCTTTTCTTGTATAAAATGTTACGAAACAACAACCTACAGAGAGAAATGAAAAGGTTTTAGAAATTTCTGTGAATGCTTTGCTTAGATATAATGGAGACTGTGGCGAACAAACAATCTACTTAAAAGGATGCACGATTTAAAAATAATAAAGCGTATGAGAACAGCAATAACATCTCAAGCATTTACCCGGTGCCTTTTCACCCTAAATCATACTTATTAGCTTTGCCCACGTTGGCGTCAGTGCGTAACTCTGTGCATCAGCTCTGTGGAATACAGCTATTCAGGAGCGAGGGTGGGAGGTGGCGCGGGGGGGGGTAGGTGAGGTGTTAATGGGATTTGTGGGTAGCAACTACATAAAGTATTTAATCACAGTAACAACAGCATGAGCTTACAGCAATTATAATTTTCTTAAAGGGTAGCTTCTCTAGAACATCAGAGTTTTGAAACACTTTCTAAACTCAAAGGTTAGACAGCTGGATTATAAACTTCCTGGGATGGTGTGTTATTTTTTTTATCTCCGCCATAGTACATAATGCAAAATTCTGTGCATGAGACACTCAGTACTTGTTTGCCAAAATGAAAGATTATGTTTTTACCAGTTTAGAAAATAAGTTACAATACAGGTTGGTGCACGCCCAGACTCTGCCCATGCATTAAATATGGCCATGGCACACCAACTGGCAACCACTTCACGCCTCATTTCCAGGAGCATAGGGCATCCAGGCCCCTCCAGGACAGGACAGCATATACCCTCTTTCCAACCAACCTCCTCCTCCTCCAAAGAAATGGGTGTTGAAACCTCAGACCATTCCTTCTGCCTGTGTCCTGAATGATGGCTCACGCTTACTTCAACTTGATGATGAAAGTACCGGTTAACAATTTGTTAATCAGCGTATACGTGTAATAGTTTCTCAGCACAACCAGGCTTGGGAAAAGGGCGTAAACCAAAGCTTTAGAAATTAAAAGACAGATACTACTTTTGATCTGGGCAGGCTCTGGTAGGCTGGGTTGAGGAAAACACAGAGCGATGCCCTCAGCCAGACCGTATATACTGCACCTGAGCTGTGCTGAAACAGAGCCGGGCAGGGCTGCGGGAGCTGGGAGAGGTGCTCATACAACAAGCACACCAAGCGGCACGAGAAAAATGCCCAGCACTTAGGCACCCACGTTGTTTCTATTTAGGGGGATGATGCAAGTAAGACAAAGCACAACAAAATGACACGGCTTCAGAGCAGGGAGCTGGCGCCGCAAGCTTGAAAGCTTTACAGTCACACATCAGCATTCAGATTTCTCCAAATAAAAACTCATTCAAAGGAGCAGGGGGGAAAATAAAGTACAATCCCATGCATATAGCATTCCTAAAGACATCTGAGATGCTTCCTCCCCATGTGGAAAAGAAATCTGGAACCTTGTCCTCCTACATTCGATTATTTGGGGTCTAACAAGATTGAGTATGTACAAAACCTTTACCTTTTGGACAGAGTATGACCACAGCTTCTTGGCATTTAAGAAAATCCACGCATTTAACCATCAGAAATCTCTCAAATGTATCATTTGAATGATGACGGGAACTGAAAATTATGAAGTTTCTTGAAACAATCACACATGGAGAGAATGGCCATTTTTTACATGTGCTTTTCATGTCAACCGTCTTGGCTTCTCTGACTAGAGTTTATCTGGTTGTGCTGCTTGATGGTAGATTTTTTTACTGAAGACATCAGCTTAACTAGTGATTTCAGCTTCAATGGCCTAATGTAAGCCCCCAAAAGCTACAGGAATTGCTACACATCAAGGAATAATTTTAAATAGGAAAGTCAAGCCCAGCTTCCAGTAATCATTTTTAGAAAAAGAAAAATACCAACCATGCTTCGCTAGGCTTGGTACAGATATAAAAACAAGACAAGCCTTCATGAACGCGTCTAACAGACAGACTTTCAATGCACTCTCCCCTCCCTCTCTCCTTATGGGGTTAGCTTCTGGGCAAGGAACAATGGGGACATTCTGAACTTCAACCTCGTCTAATAATCAAAGTTTTAAACAAGAGGCAGAATCTGGTACTTTCAAGGTGGCAACTTTTGGGGGTGAGATGCTTAAAAAAAGATGTAGTGATGGAACGAGCAGTTTGCTTGACTGAAAGGAAGGAAACGAAGGAAGATAAGAGTAAGCTTGGGAGATGAAAGACAAAGGCCAGTTTGGCCAGGCCAGAGTCAAGACTGAGAAGTATAGGTTGGCCTGACAGAACAGTGGAATGACAGGGAAATTGAAAAAGGAGAACTAAACACAACGATAAGAGACAAAAGTAGCAAGGAACAAAGAGGACGTAAACTGAGAGAATCGTATGCCCATGCATACTGGGCCAACTTTAAGAGCTTTGACCAAACACAGTGGTCTCAGGAATAAAGGACACTCCCCTGCCTCAGATGCCCGAACAAAATCCCTGCCATTTCCCAATTTCCCACTGCCTGAGAGTCCACGAGGAAGGCGCAGTCCATTTGCTATCTAAACATTAAAACGCTACCCTTGAAGGAGTAGACACATAATTATTCCTAGTTATTACATCTTAGTGTGAATCTGGCTGCTTGCAGTGCTTTCCTCTTGAACAAAAGTTCTTACTGAAGAGAAGGCGGGCGCTTTTTGTTTCTTTTGTTTTTCAGAAAAGGAGATGCCCCAAAGCTCAAACTCATTTCATCCAGGGTCCACACTGCCTGTGCAGTCAGTATGGTGACATTAGGGACTTATCACTACAGACCCCCTGCAAGCTCTGCCTAGCTCTTAACTGCTCCACTGTACCCATTTAAACAAAGATTCTTTAAGATCACGGCAACAGCAGCTCTAGCTTCAGAGTGACAGGTAGGAGTACCTTGTAGGCGACACTGGTGATGCACCCCTCACTGCTCGTATGCCCGACCCAACACAGCTCAGCTCCTGGTGCTTGGTAGGGGAGCTTGGAGCCTTCCTGCAATCCAAAAGCAGTGGCCCATCTCCGGGTGGGCGCCGCTCCTTGCCACAGCCCACGGCTTGGCGAGCAGAGACCAGGCCGATTTCTGCCCCTACTCAGGCTTTAGCTGGGCACCCCCATAATGTGTGCAACTCGCACGAGTGTGGGGGACCCGAGACAGACAAGACTACTGGGAATGTCATCCTAAGAGTCATCTTTCGGTTTCATACTTTCAGTTGTTGAATGACTTTGGGGAAAACACCTTACTTTTCCTGTACCTTACCCTTAGTAAAAACCAAGTCTGCCTAAAATCCTCCCCAAAACCACATGGATATATAGTCAAAGTGTTTTGTTCAGAACAAATAAAAAAGAGCCAGAATTCTTCTTTACTTTTACTGGGCTGAAAAAGTCTTATGCTTCATTCAGCATGCACAATGATTTGCTTAACAAATACAGCGTTTGGTTAAGTTATCTTCAAATGTGCAGGGTAAATACAGACCTCCAAATTTAAACAGTCACTTTAGATATAGTAATTAGCGTAAAGCCCTAATGGGACTTGCGTTTGTACATTTCCGGAAATTGGAATGTGTCTGAAAGATTGTCGTTGCTGTGAGTCCTCTCCCAGCTAACAGCCGTAGTCTTTTTTAAAAAAAATCCATCTATCACTTAATATGTTCACTTAAAGTGTTAGATTCTCTGACCTGCAGAGAATATTTCAACGAAGGAAGACAAAAAAATATCATTACTTGCCCTGAAATGGTAATTTTTATGGCAAAATGTCAGGGAGCTACTACAGATCCCAGAAAACCCATGAAAGGCTCATCAAGGATGAAGCTCCCTCGCCTGCCAGCCCTACCTGAATGTGCAGCTGTTAAGGGAACCACCTGTCTCTCAGATTTCCCCACGCCAGCTGTAACTCAGGTCTGAGAGGCACTGGATTCGTTTCCAGGTCAGCTGCAACACCAGATGGCTCGGCAACCTGACTCAGGGACAGGCCTCCCTCCTCCCGCAGCCTCTGATTCCAACATCAGCGTAAGGTGGGTGGCTAAACGTCTACGATACCCACAGGTGCTCTTGTATGGTCAGCGGCTGCAGCGCACACCCAAGCGGGCAGTCCTGCAGGCTTCGGTGTGCATTCCTGGAACCCCCTTTCCAGGCTGTGCTTGGAGTGGAGAGAAGGGCCCTGCCTGTGTCGAAGAGAAGTGACCGGCCAAGGGACTCTGGGATCAACACGGGAGGATGCAGTTTGATGAGTCAGGTGCTCCGGCAAGTCTCAACCCTCCTATTTCTGCTTCATGCGGGTGATTTTTGCTGCTTCACATTTTTCTACTCGACACTGTCTAATAAGCATGTGCACTTTACAAGTCGTGCCACGGTCTGTCCACGCACTGAGGGGTTTTTGCCAGTGGCAGCAGCCAAGTCAGGAAAGGTAGCCGTGATGCTCCACACCCAGGTCACTTTATCTTTCGTTTCAACCAATTCAACAATTCACTGTAATACTCAAAGCTTTAGACGTTGGAGCACACACAAAAAAATCCTGCATGTGTTAGTTTATCAACCCCCTCCCATTATTCCTCATCAGGACTTTTTAAATTCACAGGTGAAATAGGTACGGAGGTAAAACTTGAGATGTGATTTCAGAACCAAACATCACAAGTCTTAGGTCACACAGGGCCTGAGGTTTCCACTACCAATGACACCTTTGGTTGATTACCAAAGATCACGACGGTTCTATATATACCTTAGAGGGGAAATACATTATATCTAGCTGGCCATTAACATCTCACTGTGAGTTAATTCTGCTGTTTAACTGTGAACATGCAGCAGAGCCCCTGGGAAGGGAACCTAAGACAGACAAAGCACAGGAGACCGGCCCTGGGCTACTGAGAGCCTCTGCGGGACCCGGCAGTTCCAGGTCGTCAGAAGCAAGACCACGCTGTGCACCGAGGGAAGGAGAGAGGGACGGAAAAGCTCACCTAGTCTCAATTTCCCATCTGTCACCCCTTCTGTCTACCTCCTTAGAGGCCCGTCTAAAGGACCTGGAGACTTTTGACGCCCACATTTCCAGGAATTGGTAAGTTTAGCAATACAGTTG